CCCCAAAACCCCAAAACCCCAAAACCCCAAAACCCCTTTTGTATATTTCTGAGTTGAATTTTAGTTTAAATTTTTGGTCTGTAGGAAAGGAGTAAATGGGTTGGGAAGTTTGTGCTGAGTTTTGTGGGTTTGGAGATTATGTGAGGGTGGGAGAGTAATGGTAAGAGCTTGTTCTAGTGGGGTTGGGTGTTATAAGGTTGGGTATTAAGTATGGAGAGACTCTTGGAGATGGCTAAAAGGAGGCTGTTTAGTATTGTGGTAAAAATGAGAGAGAAAATTAGTTTCTTAAATTTCAAAATGTTTATAACTGAATGTAGCTTTTCCTCTAAAAAAATTTCTGGTACTTTTCCAAAACACTATCCCTAACCCATCAAAGAATACTTTAAACCCCTCATAAATCTCCCTTATTCAACATAGGACCCCCTTAAAACCACAGAACATGAGTTTTGACCCCCTTCTTACCCAATATCAGCCAGCCTGGATCATCTTTGGCTCTCTCGACTTTAAAGCCCCAAAATCCCACTTATCCTTCTCTGAAAGCCAGTTGAGGTATTCTATTCCCGTACAAGAACAGAACGAAGCTAGAGTTTGTAAGGAATCGTGCTCATCAGAGTTTTTGCTGTTAAGAGATTTTGAATTTTGGGGCTTAATGACTGGGAATTAAGGGATTTTTGGAGTAGACAGCAGAGAATTTGGGAAGAAGGGAAGGAGTAGGACTTGGGGGTAAGGATTACGGCAATATTTTGGGGGTATAGAGAGTCGTTTAGGAGTTTAGAAATAGCTTTTTTGGGTATAGTTTTGTGGGTTTTTAGGAAGGTAGGGTAAATTAGATGCAAAATTCAACTATTAATCTTGAAGCTTATTAGAATTTATGTGAAGCGAAATTGCACTGAATTGTTATTTCAACGTTATATAAGCATCCATGCTCAAGATTACTCTAATCCTAATATAAACACCTACCACGATAATTTTATCAATATATCCCATCTTTCTAAATTTCAAACAAATTTCCAATCTTTTGAGGCTTTCATCCAAAATTTCTCATCAAAAAGTCCAAGAGTATAATTGAAATCCCATTAGTCAAGAAGCTCGCAAGACAGATTCCCGTATATGTCAGATTAGTTATTAATGGCATATATTATGACTCATAATTATATGCAATCAATTATCATAAACCTCTAGGGCTGATAATTTCAGAAACCATTTTGGAGTTGCAAACGTCAATCCCTGGCAAGCTCCATGTGTATATTCAGTAATCTTGGGGATTCACATCGATGCTTTCCCGGATAATATTGGTTTATTAGAGCAAGTTCCTCAATATTCTGCAATAAATCTGGAGATAATTCATAAATAGGAAAACGAGATGTATGAAAGCAGTTCGTATTCTTTACATTTACCTGAAATCTATCCGAGCTATGAAGTAAAACTGTTTGCTTACTAAAATACATAGTCTCTAGAGAGATTCCTTTTTTTCTAACACTTTATATTAACCAACTCAGAGGCACAAGGTCTTCTTCAAGACCTTGATTCTGATGAAATGCTAAATCTCAGTTGCATTTATCTCCTACAAAATCTGGTCGAAACCATTTATGACTATTAATCTTCTCATTCTTGGTGCTTAAATACCCATGTTTAAATTTATTCTGAACTGATATCCATCACCAATATTCCTTATGAGATTAGGGGTTTTGGGGTTTTGGGGTTTTGGGGTTTTGGGG